AACTTTTCCCACAGTCCAAGCACTTATGTGGTCTCACCCCTGTGTGTAATGCATGATGTTTAACAAGGTGTGACCTTCTTATGAAACTTTTCCCACAGTCCAAGCACTTGTGGGGTCTTTCTCCTGTGTGGATTGCCTGATGACGAACTAGGTGTGACCTTCTTTTGAAACTTTTCCCACAGTCCAAGCACTTGTGGGGTCTCTCTCCTGTGTGGATTGCCTGATGTCTAATTATTTGTGTCTTCAAAATGATACATTTCCCCCATTCGAGGGATTGACAGGTTCCCTCTCCAGTGTGGCTGCTCCCATGGTTATTAAGATCTGAGAGATTATTGAAGCTTTCCCCATCTTCCAAGCATTGAAGGAGTTTCTCTCCAGTATGGATTGTCTGATGGGTCACAATCTGTGATCTCACAATGAATCGTTTCCCACACTGAGGGTAGTGCCCGGGTGTCTCTTCCTTGGAATTTGTCTGCTGTGCTCTGGGATCCTTGTCTCCTTTCCCGCCATTAATAGTTTCATCCATTCTCTTCCCTGGATGGTTTTCCAGAAGCCTTTCTGACCTGTGCCAGTTTCCCCAGGCCTCTTCCTCCTCCAAGCACTGGGAAAAATTCCCTTCACCTCTTCCAACAAAGGACCCCTGCAGTTCCACTTCCCCGGGAACTTCCTCATGATGATTCCCCTCCTCATTCTCACTCCCTCGCTCAGCACCTGCTGGGAGAGACACAATCCAGACAAGAGTCATTGTGCTGGGGAGAAAGAGGAATAGCACCGAGGGAAAACCCAACACGAAGACTGAACAATTGGCCTCCGCCTCCATATCCCACCCAAACACTCACAGGGAAGGAAAGCGGGGAAGCAAACTCCTGCAGAGAAGAAGCTGGGTGGAACGGCGTGAGCTATATCTGATGACTGCAGCCCTGTCCTGGCTGAGATGAGGAAGAACTGAGGGAGCTTACTCACACCATATTTTGGGATTCTCAACTTCTTCCTTCATTCCCTAGATTGTTTCTGTGTCAGTCCTCACCTGTACGAGTGTATCTGGGAAGACTTCTTTCCTTGGAGTCCCGGAGATCAGGCACCCACGGCTCTTCCCCTCGTTCCAGCCGGGCGATCAGCTCAGGTTTGGGAAGGGGGAATCCTGTGCAGAGGTTGGAATCAGACCAGATCAGGGTGCATGGAGCATTGGTGGAATATTTGTCAGAAAGGACATTACGTGAGTGGAACCTGTCCCTGCGCTCTGCTGGAGGAACGGGGAATCCAAGAGGATGGGGAAACGGTCACTGAGCCCCCTTGCGCAGAGGAAATTGTCTGGGGAGGCGAGTTGAATTATTACTACACCCTCACGAGGCGCTCCCAGGATCTGTGCACTCTGGGGGTCTTCCTGACTCACACACAGCTCTGGACTTAAACCCCTGCCTCTTTCTAAACCTGCAGAGCCCAGAGCCCTCCCCAGGGCTGCAGCTAGTCCCAAGGAGGGAGGTGAACATGCATTGTTTGTGCAGCCGAGAAACAACACGGACAGGACAAAGATGGATTTATGCCCCTTTGAAAGCTGGAGGGGTGGGGATGGTTTAGCTTGTCCATTGGGTTTTGGCACCCATGTCCCACTGGAGAGGGCACGGAGATGCAAATCTCTCTCACACGGCAGCTGTGCAATATGGAACCACTCGCCTCTGATCTCACTGACCAGGGAAGAACCTGACCAGATTCAGACACGCAGACCCCACGGCTTCTATTTAGGGTGAAAAGACCTCCCGATATTATCGGGACAGTCCCAATTTTAGGGGACTTGTCCCGTGCCCCGACCTTAAGTCGGTCAGGAAGCACTTTCTCCTGATCTCGGAGGGACCGTCTGGTGGAGCACGCAAGCCGGCCCCACTCACCCCTTCTTCCCGGGCCATGGGGCAGTGCAGCTGAACTCCCGGTGCTTGCCCACTGGCCGGCAGGAGTCCGCAGAGTGCTGCAGCCCCACTCCCCAGGCACACACAGAGGTGGTGAGGAGGTCTCCGCTGAGTGCTGCAGTGGCGGGGCTTGTAGGCGCCAGCAGCGTTCAGAGAGCCCACCCACACCCACCCTCCTCAACACAACCCGCGCGAACTTAGGAGCCAGAGGGATGTGACCTGCCTGCTGGATGCTTACTGGGAGCGACTCCAGGTAAGGCTAGCACCGCTGGGACCCACCTGGCCACCTGGCGGGTTCCTCTGGCTGCTTATTGCCCCCTCACTCCCTGATGGGGGAGGTAGAGACGGAATCAATACAAGCTGGTGCGGGGGGGTGGGTTGTGGAGCTCCCAGTGGGTTCTCAGCCCCCATCAATTTTTCCTGTGCTCTGGTGGTTTTATTTGTTTTGCTCCACCGCTGGCTTGTTTTTTGTTTTTTTACTACCCCGCCTTCCCGCGTCCTGATATTTCACCTCTGTCATCTAGTCACCCTACTTCTAGTATCTGAGGGGACAGGAATCCCTTACCCAGCGAGGTCACAGTCTCGTAGTTCTCCTGCATGACGTCCCTGTAGAGGGCTCTCTGAGCGGGGTCCAGCAGAGCCCCCTGCCCCTGGGTGAAATACACAGCCACCTCCTCGAAGGTTACTGGCATCTGAAAAAAAAAGTCCCCACTCAGCACCTGCTTCCCCAGCCACAATCCCACTATTCACACGGGAGGAAGGATAAAGAAATGGAAGCTCTGGGATGGCCAGAGTAGCAGAATCTCAACCACATCCTGCTTAGAGCAGCCAGGAGGCTTCAGGGGGTGGGGAGAAGGTGAGAGCTCCTTGTCCTCCCCAGCACACGGAGGAGGGCAGGGTCTTCTCATTTCCCACACACCTGCCAGCCACAGGCTGATATGGGAAGCAGAGCTCTGAGACAGGGACAGGAATCCAAACAGCTTCCCTTCGTATTTCACAGCAGCCTCAGGTTAGTGGGGTCTCACTCCAGCACTGGGAGCCTGGAAAATATTCCCAGCGCTGTGCATGGGGGTTATATCCTATTTGAGAAATGGGGGAATGTCCCGTCTCCCCTCCCCCATCACCAATGGGCCCGCTCAGAAAATCAGCAGGTTTATCACACCCTGTCTCCTCCCTGCCCCTGCCCAGGAGCTCCCTGAAAATCCCCTACCTGAGCTGGCTCCATCACAGACATTTCCCTTCCCTGTCTCCTGGAAGATGGGCCCATCTGAAGCAAAAGGTTGACGTGATTCCTCAGCCTGTTGGGGCGAGAGGGGCAATGGGGGAGGTTACAGAAGGGGCTTCAGTCCATGTCACACCCCGGTTCCCTCCAGCCTCTTCAGACCCTCCCAGTAACAGTATCTCTGAGCCAAATGCTAGAAAAAAAGCAGAACTAAAGGGGCCACTGTAGGGGATTTCCCCAAACTGCCGTGTAAACTCCTCTCCCTTAGGAGCAGCAGGAGCTCTCTGATGGCATCACCTAAAGAATGAGCTGCCCTGGACTCCTGCAGCAGCCCCCAGGGCGAGGGAGGCGGAGGCTGATTTCATTGGCCCATCCACCCGCCCTGCCTGCCCAAAGCAGCAGTGACTCCGGTGTGGCTGAGATGTGAATCGTGCCCAGAAATCTAACTAGGGCCCTGGGCGACCCCAAAACTCATGAGACACAGACCCAGGGGCGGCTCTAGGCACCAGCAAAGCAAGCACATGCTTGGGGCAGCCCATTTGCAGGGACAGCAGCGGGCAGGGATCCAGCCTGGGAGCTGAGAGCCAACAGGGTGCCCTGGGAGCTGTAGTTTCTTGTTTAGTTCCCTGCCTATAGAGCCAGCCCTGGAGCAGGGAAAGAACTACATTTCCCAGCATTCCCTTGGCCGCTCTTAACAGGAAAGGGAGGGGGAGGGAGTATGATAGCTGAAACCTCATGCTGCAGCTTGTTGTGAAGGGAGAGCTCATTGCTAGAGCGGGGTGACACTGTGAATGGGCAACAAGTGTGCCCAGGGAGTAGAAGGCTTTGGCCCAGATATTCCCTTCAGAAGACTTCCCCAGACTGGATTAGGGATCCTGGTGTGACCTCACCTTGCAGCCCCCAAAGAAGGAATTGAGTGGCCTAAATGGACAGTGCCCCTTTCTATCTGAAACCTAGCAAGGGAGGTACGTGGATCCCACTAGAATTTAAAATGAAAAGTAAGGGAGGGGAGGCTCTTCTAGAGGACCTGGGCAGCATGAGATACAGTATCAGGCACGTAGGAGGATTTCCACTTCTGAGCAATGGAAGCAGAAATTGACTTTTCCTTTCCAGATTTAGCTAATATTCCGAAAGGGAATCCAGCACCTGCCTTCCAGATTTGAACACCTCAAAATTCAGGAGTGTTCAAGCTCAATTTGGGCAGCTGTTACTTCATTTCTGCCAAATCTAATATACTGATCCACTGTAACTTGCTGTAGAAAAAGTAGGATAAAATTGAGCAAGAAATGCTTCCCAGTGGTTTTTAGGACCGGAATTGCTATTTTCAACAGCCATTGCCCCTTTTTTTTTTTTTAGTTTTATTTGTTTGAAAGGAAGACAGTGATATCGCATTGGCAAATTCCCCATAGAAACAAATAGTGGAACAAAAGAATAATAAAGGCACCTCAACTTTTCCTCATTGATGGAGGACAGGCTTATAATATGCATCCAGATATCCTCCAATCACACATGCTGAAAATGGTTCCACTTTACTGCAGTTCTGTAACCATATGGGAACAAATCCTGTCTGTGTTCTGTGCACATCCAAAATTCCTGCTGAATGACCCACCCTGGGAGGGAGTTACCAGTGACCCAAGGCTGGGGCGGAAGGAGGGTGCAGGTGGACGGCAGGGGGGGAGAATCCAGGGCTGGGGTGGAGGCAGCCACATTTTTTTTTGCTTGTGGTGGCAAAAACCTAGAGCCGGACCTGCACAGACCCAACCAGCATGGGTGTGTCTGACAGTAACACACTGGGAGCAGGGTGTTAGTGTGGGTCCTGGGTTTTTGCCTCTGTCCCCCTCCAGTCTCTCCACACACACCCTTCCCTCACAGTGCCCCCCACTCACATATTCCCCCATTCCAACCTCGCTCCCCTCAGCCGCAAAAATATGGTGACCAGATGTCCCGATTTTATAGGTAAAGTCACGATTATTTGGTCTTTTTCTTATATAGAATCGTATTACCCCCCACTCCCTGTCCCGATTTTTCACACTTGCTCTCTGGTCACCCTATGCACAATCACCCCCGATCCCTCCATCGCACCCCTTCCCACATCCCAGTCTGCTCCACGCATCCCCATCAGCCGCCGCCTCCCCCTGCAGCCCGGGGGTGACGGGGGGGGCGGGTTTCTCTTACCTTCCCTCCGAGCGGGGCCCCCTGGGGCAGGGGCCGGGCCGGGAAGGGGCCTGGCCGGGCTGGGGGCTCTGCCCTGGGAGAGGCTCCTGGGGAGCAGCGGGAAGGGCCCTGCTGGAGATTCCCCTCTCCCGGCTGCAGCCAGGGCTCCGGGCTCCCAGCACCAGCCGCCGGGGCTCGGGGATCTCGCCAGGAGCCTGGAGCCAGAGTCACCGCAGCGGCTGCGAGTCACTTCCTGCTGCCGGGCCTGAGCCCAGCGATCGCTCCCCCCAGAACCGCCTCCCGGCTGCTCCTGGGTCCTAGCGATAAACCCACCGCTCTGCAGCATCTCTGTGTCCCGCTCCTGTTCCACTCACAGGCTCTATGATCAGAAGGGCCCATCATGAGCATCTAGCCCAGGGATTCTCACGACCAAATTTGGTGGCCTCAGAGTGTGGCCAATAACTCTCACTGGTGGCCGCTCTGACACTTTCCCCTGTAATCCTAACTAACTTTATGAGAAACCAATAAATATGCACAGAGGTAAGCGGGGGAAACGGTCTTACTATTGTGGGGAACTCTTCTGGCTTATACACCACCCTGATAGAATCGAATAGCAAAAGGAGCTGAGTCCTCACTCCCTCTCCCTTTATCTGGAGAACTGCCTGACCTCGAAGACTCCCCTTCCACTCTGGTGTCTGAAACCCTGACAAGGCTGGAACCAACATTGCTGCGGGGTCTTCATCCCCAATTTTGTTGTGATCACTCAGGACAGAGGTTAGGGTGTCATATCCCCACTCTGGGGTGCTCTCTTCACTCCGGACGCATCCCTGATGTCGCCTTCAGAATTGCATTGAGTTCAGAACAAAAACAATTTATTAAACAGCAAGTAATAAAAAAAAGTAAGGAAAAAATGGGAAAGGGGAAAGGAAAACATGATGTCATCCCACACTGCCCAGGGTCCCCCCTCGCTCTCCCCAGCTGCTCACCACACCCAGCTCCAGACTGCTCCAGACCCAGCTTCCCTCTGCATCAGTGCTTCTGC